AAACAAACATGGTGTTAGTTTTGAAAGAAAAATGAAAGGATTATATAAAAGGTGAACCAAACGATAATGAGGATCATTACTGATGATGAAATACCTGTAAATGAAGCTTTAAAGTATGATTGGAATTTATTTTGCATTAATCCAGCTGTGTTGTCAAAATGTCATGTTGTCTCATTTTTCAGAGAAGTTAATTAACCTGGTGACATGGTGACGTAAGTGACACCTTCAGTTATTCAAAAATGCTTCATAAGTGCCTTTCTCCTTAATCCAGCTGTGTTGTCAAAAATGTCATGTTGTCTCATTTTTTCAGAGAAGTTAATTAACCTGGTGGACATGGTGAGTAGTGACACCTTCAGTTCTTCAAAAATAATAATTATTGAATAACCTAAAACCATTAACGATAAAAAACTGATAACAAAATTTTATTTTTATATAAAATGGATACCCCACAAGCTCAAAATTACCACGAGATCATAACAAGGAGGAAATGATAAAATTGATGCAAGAACTAATTAAAAACAACAAACCACGAAAACCGAGAAGATGCGGTTATGCAGTAATGATGAGAAAGAAGAAACTAGAAGGGTTCGGAAGAAGAAATAAAATATAAATTTGGATTGAGTTTAAAATTCATCTTTATTAATTCATTCTTTCAATCAAATTATTATTCTATTAAATTCTTTTATTTTTGCTTCACTCAGTTTAAGGATTGAACGGTAGTTTCTAATTTTCGATTATTTCTTTCCTCTCTTTATCGTTTTCAACCCCCACGCATTGCGGCTTCTTTTTGTAATAGCATATTTTTGATTTAATTCTGTTTAGTTTCTTCTTATATTCATTGTCTGGACTCTTGGCTGCTTTGTTGTCACTCATTTCTTACGAAAAAAAAAAATTAAATATTATTTAAATATAATGGAGTAATAAATAAAATCGGAATTTCTATTAATTTAATTTGTCAACTTCAACTAATGCATTGCCGTTAAATATCTTAACAAATTCAGCTTATGTGTGTCAAAAATCATCTTTCTTTGTTTACCATCTATTCTTCTCTGTTTCCTATCACATTTATCCTTAATGCTCATTTGAAAGTTTTTGTCTTTCATGTCTGATGGTTTGCAGAATAGAGCATTTTTACACGTCATACCTGCACACAATTCATCATAATGTGTATTTATCCATACATCTAAAGGATTTGTTGATAATTCTATTAAATCTTGTTTGGCTTCAGTCATCGGTATGATTCGTACATTAAATGATGAAAGGTCATATTGCATAAAATACGTCAGTAAATTATCATAAAATTCCTTTGTGCATGAATCCATTAAATTCTTGAAGTAATCAAATTGACCCTTGAATTTACCATTAACCTTAAAACTACGTATCTTCTGTCTCCAACTTCAATTTTGACAGGGTAGACGTTTTTAGTTACGAAAATGAAGTTTGCAACATTCTGAGCAGTTCTTCTGGGTTGATTCTTTTCATTAATTCTTATCTCATTATCCGTAATAATTGATTTCAAAGCGTTGAAGTTTGCGAGTCTATCTTCACCAACATTCTTGAGTTCATTAAGTACAAGAAACATTTTATTCTCAACTACTGAATTAAAATTACCCGTTAGCTCACTTATTTCAGTAATGTTTTTACATGAATAACCAGCGAGAAGTTCAGAAATAATATCTGTAAATCTGTTTTTACCTGTTCCCTGAAGTCATTTCAAAATAATTGCTTTTTCATTCTTGATTCCAGGATGTTGAATCATTGATGCAATCCAGCCGAGAAGGTATTTATACACTTCATCGTTATTATCACAAATGGCTTCTTTAATGAAATTCATAAACATCTCAATTTTGGAGTAATCTGGTTTTTCGAGAACGTTGTATTTATAACCTTGAAACGTTGAGAAAACATCTGGAGAATCAGATTTAAAGCAAACACCCTTAACGGTTAATGAAGACAATTGATTTAGTAGTACATCCCATGCTGTTATTGTTTTACCTTCTTCTTTAAATAATTTAATCATTTTGAGTGACTCTTTCATGTTTGATTGAAGAACGAATGATATTTGATTCATTTTGTCGTGGATATTATAGTCCTTTTGAATGAAATATTTATTTCCACAATCTACAAAACGGATTACACGTGATAAATCCTCAATTACTTCAGAACTGTTTTTATACTGATGATTTTCAGCCTTGCGTCTAATATCTGTTATCAAAAACGAGTCATCAAGTTTTATATCAAATGTTATTTTTGGCTTACGTAATAAAGGTAAAACGTATTCATCATAATATTCCTTTTGATATAGTTTTAGAATCTTCACTAAAACAAATGGAGAAGTCATTAAATGTGCATATCTACTACGTGCTTTTTCAAAATTACTTTTTGCATTTTCAGTTAAATTGCAGAAGTTATAAACGTTATCGTATGCTTCATTAATTAAATGATTAGGTAACGAATTAATTGCTTGAAACAGTGTGAATAATGTAACTTCTTTTTCTAAATTCATGTTTCCACCGTCATTATGTACTTCAAAATCACTGATGCCATCAACAATGCTCTGGGCAAGTTTATCGTCAATGTTTACATCTTTGTTTTCATTCATGATAGTCTTTATTTCTTCGTTCTTCTGTTCAACTCTTACCTTAATATTCAAATCATTTAATATATCATTCACTGTTCTAGTTAATGTTGAATCGTAACTTCCACGAATGAATGAGTATGTATTGATTGGTTCTGTTGCATTCTTGCGAACTCTTGAATCAGCCATAACTACTAAAGAACGCTTTGAATCATCCATAGAAGTCATGATATCGATATCATAATCATTGCAGGAATAACATTTAATCATTCTGTTCGAGGTTGAATAGAAGAAATTAGTGTTACAATAAATGTGAAGACCTCCTGAAGCGGTTTTAACGATAACATCTTTATCCGAAAGTTTTGATAGAATGTCTTTTCTAACTGTTTCTTTAAGTTCATCATTGTACGATTTATTGATATCAACATCTATAATCGTTAAATTTGAAATTTTATTTACTAATAAAGCCATACCGGTTTTCCTTCCTCTTCCTCCATCGTGTTTGAGGTAGTTATGTAAATCAATCTTGTTTTCACCAATTCTTTCGTTGAGGGTTTTAGTTTCTGCCACAACTAATTCCTCAGCTAATGAATCAATAACTTTTTCATCAGAAACGATATAGTTGCTGTTGTTGTTTGTTGCTGTCATTTATATAGGAATAAAAAAATAAAAATAATTTTAAAACTAACTTTATTTTTGGACTGCATCATATTTCCAGTGATGTTGTCTATGGAGTCCATAATATCTTTGACATAAAATGCATACTTAACAAACAACTTCATCTAATTTCTCATGAACTTTCTTGTCTATGGAGTCCATAATATCTTTGACATAAAATGCATACTTTACAGAGCACCATTCAGCAACAAAATGAACGAGGTCAGGATGTATGTAAATACCTTTGAATTCATTTATAACACCCTTAGTAAGCTCATAAAATGCTTGTTTTGAGGTTGAGCCACTTTTGGCTCGACCGTATTCTTTCAACCAAAACTCAAGAATTTCCTGCATTTTAGCACTATTGAGAAATCTGTTTAAATGGTTTAACTTTCCTGCTTCTCTTGCCATCTTTGTTGCATTAATGTAACCATCCTTGTCTCTACGTAAGACTTCAATACCATTATAAGTGCCTTTTGTGAATGTTTCGCCATTAGATTTGTTCGTGAATGTTTTTGCTTCGACTGACATTTCTGTTCTTACATACCAAATAAAAAATAAATAAAAATAATTTTAAAACTAACTATATTTTTGGACTGCATCAAATTCCAACCGTGTTGTCAAAATGTCACGTTGTCTCATTTTTTCAGAGAAGTTAATTAACCTGGTGACATGGTGACGTAGTGACACCCTCAGTTCTTCAAAAATAATTAATTATTGAATAACCTGAAAACATTAACGATAAAATTTATTTCTGCAGTTCATCCGCTACTTCATTACCTAATTAATTACAGACATAAAATATATTTAGTTCATTCGGTAAGCCTTGACCCAAAGGGTCTAGGCTCAAATGCGTTCAATGAACGCGGTACCATGCAAATACAGTCACAAATGGTGGCATGTAATCTTTACCCAAGCCTGTTGGATTTGTTGTGAAAGTATGGACATGATTTCCTCCTGGTTCAGTTTGTCGAAAAGTCTTTTTTGTTGAATCGTTATAAGCTGGAGATAAAACATCATAACCAGCTTCATAGTCTGAGTTGTATAATGGGTGGTCTCTTAATGAGTGTCTATGGTCGCCAGAAAAGTTTGTAGTTCCTGTATGAGTGTGCGGTGGAAGGTTTGCTTCTTTAATTTTCTTCGAACCTCCTGTTTGCTTTGAATATCTAGCACAGTATAAGAATTTATCTACAATCTGCTTCCACGTACCAAAACCTAAAACTGTTGCTGGATTTGTTGAATTCATTGACGTATAAATAGAACCAACAGGATATAATGTTTGAAGTATTTCAGTCTTTAATGTTTGAAGCTCTGTTTTGTCAGCCTTCTTCTCTAATTCAGTATTAACATATTCCTTGTCTGCTTTAAGGTCTAAACATCCTGAAACCCATCCTGTATCAGCTTTAACTTTAAAAGTCTCCAATGTCCATTCATGATACCATTCAACCTTTTCTTTAATTTCATTATCTTTTTCATCTACATAAACCAAACTTGCCTTCTTCATTAACTCACTATCCACGTATTCCTTATCTACCTTCTTCATTATGTCATTTAGGAAACCTTCTATGAATTCCTCATTTAAATTAAATCTTCCAATCTTCAAAACTTTAGGAAATGCATTTAATGCGTAATATCTCTGTTCTTCTGGTGGAATTGATGTTATATCATCCGTTATTCCTTTAATTTTTGAATTCATAAATAAAATTTCTTTTATATTTGATATCACTGCACCGCCTTTGCAAACGAATTCGAAACGGTCATTTTTCAATACTATCTCCAAATCTCCATATTTCAACCTTTGCGTTTGTTCTGCCGTCTTTGAATTATATGCATATATGGCGTATGTAATGGTCTGAAGGACCTGGGTGCTTTGCGCCTTAAGTTGTTGTGGTTGCTGTTGTTTAATCATTTATTACGATTTAAAAATAAATATTTAATCCGTTATCTCATCAGCTATTTTCTCTATTTGAAATTGCCATAATATTTCATTCATAAATTCTAAATCACAATCAAATAGGTCAGTTATTCTAAATTTAATATTTGATAAATCTTTTGAATGAAGAATAAATGAATTCCCGGATAATTGAAACGGATATGATAAAGAAAATGTGTTTAAGTTGATGGATAAATGTTTTGTATTGATGGGTAAGAGTTAGGGTCTAATGTTTGATGTGAAAATCTCATTGGGGTATTAACTTTATCACATTTGATTAAAATGAAATTGGAACCAGTGTCAGAATACAAAACATCCCCAACATCTTTTTTCAATTTAATATCCCCAAACAATGAACGAAGATGAGGAGTACAAAATTTAATTTTCAGCGGAAATTTAATAAGGTTTTTATTTCATCAAGTTCAAAAAGTTTATCAGGTTTTTGATTTAAAATTTTCTTCATACCATACGATAAATGATTCATTTAAATAACTTAAAATCGTGTTAATATCCCATTTTGTTATCACATTATTTATATACATATCATACGTTTTTCAAGGTCATCTTTAATAAATGATATATAATCTGAAGGGTCTAAAAGAATGGGATTAAATTTACCACTCACAGAAACGAGAGTAACATTATAATTCCGCTAACTGTTAAATTTAATTCACAGCTATTATTCGAAATAATATTGATAATTGACATTTTTATTACGATTAAAAATATGGTAAAGCGTTATTTTCCAGTGATAAATAAAACTAGAATAAGATTACCTCAAGAATTCATAAATTCAACGAATAAGAAATTCATTCATGTTATAAATTTAGTGTTTTCAGAAAATATGAGTCAGTGTCATATTCATCAACAGGTTATATTTCACTTCATTCAAATTTAGTTCAATCAAACCCATATAATGACCATTTCATAAGATTTTCAGATGGTGTTAAAAATGTAATTGATAGATTAAAATATGAACAGATTGACAATATCGAATTTTTGGAATTTTGGTTTAAATATCCCGATGGAAAAAAGATTGAAGTTAAAGATAAAGCTGATACTATAACAAAAACAATTACAATGACCGATCCGGATAGTGGGGAACAAAAAGAAATAAAACAAACGATAGAAACTGGTGAAAGGTCAATTATTATTGATTATGAGAAAGGGACAGACTAGCCCATTGTCACTTTTTAATTTAGCAAATGAACGCTTATGGAGTGGAGTTTTTGGGTAAATCTGATTTGCTTATAAATGAAATAAAATCAAAAGAAGCCATATTGGCATTATATTATGCAAAAATAAATGATCTTACTTAGTACTTTTAAAGTTAATTTCAGAAAAAATTTGACACAATGGTATCCGGCACATACAAGTGGTGTACAACCAAAATATAAGTTAGTTTAAACATATATTGCTATATCTCATGATCTTACTTAGTACTTTTAAAGTTAATTTCAGAAAAAATTTGACACAATGGTATCCGGCACATACAAGTGGTGTACAACCAAAATATAAGTTAGTTTAAACATATATTGCTATATCTCATGATCTTACTTAGTACTTTTAAAGTTAATTTCAGAAAAAATTTGACACAATGGTATCCGGCACATACAAGTGGTGTACAACCAAAATATAAGTTAGTTTAAACATATATTGCTATATCTCATGATCTTACTTAGTACTTTTAAAGTTAATTTCAGAAAAAATTTGACACAATGGTATCCGGCACATACAAGTGGTGTACAACCAAATCTTCGACTCGATGAACTTGTCATCGAGTTATATTCCAGTGTTGTTCCTTCATTCCTGATTAAGTTGCAAATTAAAGGTCTGGATTCAGAGAGAAGTGTTAAAGTTATCAAAAAAGTCACAAGAGATTTCGAAGAAATGACACAATTTAAAAAAGTCGAATGCATCAGTATGCTTGAAGCTGTTCAGAAAGGTCTGAAAAATGATACACTTGATCCCAACATTGTTTACTCAACATTAAAAATATATTGCAAAGAAACATTTGATTTAATAAACATTTAATTTATTATAATTAATTTTTTATTACAGTATAGTAAAAAATGCTATAAATAAATTATTATATTTTATTAAAATGTGACTTTTAATAGTAAGTGAATAAAATAAATCAGGAATTGGAAAAGAAATAAGGTTAATTAAAAATAATGAAAATTACAAGTTTAAGGTTAATGAAAAAGTGACAATGGGCGAGTTTGTCCCCCACTCATTGATTATGATTCAAAGGATTATTATTCGATAATGTTAATGCTTGAATATTAAATAGCCTTAACAAAGAATTTTTCAAGTGATATTTTATATTCATCAACTATTTTATTATAAATATCATTATATGTTAAATGAAGTTCAGTTGTTGTTCCGTTCTTTGATATCTTAATTGTGCTAATATCCTTTATAGGATTTATTTTTGCAACTGTTCCGCAGCACGAAACCTCATCATCTATGAAAAATTGAATCTTAACGTCTGAATCTTGAACATCACAAAGAATGGCGATAATGTGAATTAATGATTCATAAGGTAAAATAATTAAACCGGATTGATCAATTAAATTTATTATTGAATCATAATTATTAATTATTATATCACGGTAAATTTTCATTAATTCAGAATTAATGTCTATTTTATATAGGTTATCAAGTGGTGCTGGGTATGTTGGATAAGTGGGAATTTCAACAGGTTCTTTACCGGGTTCAGATAAAATGATTGGGTCTCCATTCTCATGGTTTTCTTCATTCTCCTCATTCTTCGGTAAGTCACGAGTTAATAAATTTGGTTGAGTTGCTGACCTTGTTAATTCAGGGCTAACATTAACTTTAACATTTTGAATAATTCGTGATTTATCATCATTTACGTTATAACCAACCGTAATCTCTGCTTTTGCGTTAGTGTTCTTTTGATTAGTGAAACGTCTTCTCATTTATAATCGAATAAAAAAATATATTTAAACTTTTATTTTGCCGGAAGTTTTGAATCTATTATTCCCTGTATTTGTTCTTGAAGTTGATTTTTAGCTGGTTCATTGTAATTAAT